GAACAGTTTCTCACACAACTTTGGAAAAGAGTGTCCTGATACTCTGCATTAAGCTCATTACCTAACGGCCCATTAAGCTCCAAGTGCAAGGGCCAGTCGTGGTCAGCCATGTGGTATGGCCCTTTGCCTTCTTTCAATTTTCAGCCCATGCCTCACTCCCACCCTCTGTCCCCAAGTCCCAGACTCCCCTGAGCATTCTGCTTTCTTTTCCATTTCGACTCTCTTGTTTCATTTCTGGCCTCTGCTGCTTTGTTCCTTCAATGAAACTTCCTTCCATTTCCAGCCTCCAGAAAGGGGTGGTGTCTTTCTTTTGTCAAAGGGCCTCTGCTTCTCTTCACCATCATGGTTGGTGCTATCCTGCTTTTACCATCGGTTTAGCAGAGTCCCAGGTGAGGATCCATCTGCCAGCTTAATCTGGGAGTTGTGATGGGATGTTAATCAGACAAAGGGGCTTCAGGGGATGACTCCTGACTTTTAGGCACTGCTGTCAGTAAAGGTTAGGCATCAAAAGTCACACACTTGAGAGATGTCAGCTGCAGGGTCATGACGTGAGGAGAAGCAGCAACCAGGAAGGAGTTGTTGAAATACAGGCCCAAGCACAAAGACCTGTTACATTCTCCTACATGCTTTACCTCCTTCTTTGCACAGGGGGACTCTGAGGCCAGAGTCTTAGAATTCTCCTCAATTCCACCAGTAAGTCTATTTGCCTAATAGACCACTGTACACAAAATGGAAGGCCAATAAACCCTGGACAGTGAAAACGGTCAATTGCAATGGGCTCCAGATTCCAGAATCACTGAAGTCCTAAGAGCAGGTGAGCCATCCACCCCTGTATCCACTCATTGCTTTTCTCTTTTCAGTATGGAATCAAAGGTTCTCCTCCAAGCCAGTGGCTGGGGAAACACACATAATTGGACACAGTCCCTCCACCAAGGAAGCTTATGGGACCTGAAAGTGTTTATCAAGCCCAGGATATGCATACAAGTTAGGATCTCAAGGAAGTGGGACCCTAACTGGATGCCTATTAGTGTAGCCGAGCTGGTGAGGCCTTAAAGAAGAGCCAAGTGCACCTGGTCTCACATTATCTTCAGATCTGCCCTTCACTTTGACTCATCCACTGAAGGTCAGTAACTCTGAGGTAAGTTGTACATTAGAAACGCATTAGCTTGATTGCTTTGCCTCCGCAGGTCGACAGTAGGAATTGCAAATGATGCAACTCCTGATTTATACAGACTTGCTGAAAAATAGACAATGTTTGTGTTTCTTTCCCCAACTCACTGCCACTTTTATGACTGCTGTTAAGTTTCATTTCAGCATGTTAAATAATTTGTGACTCACTGAAATGAAACTCCACTCAGTCCTCATAAAAGCAGAATAAAATGGTATTTCCATGTTTCATGCTCTGGTTTGAATCAGCCTGCTCCACAGAGCTTAGTTGGATCTGCTCAAAATGCCATTTGGGAGTCTCTCGTCCCCTCCGTTCTCTACCAGCTCGTCACTGTGCTTCTCAAAATTTCCCAGAACTCCTTCAGCCACCCTAAAATAGCAAAATTTATAGCTAAAGGGAACAGAGGAAAAAGCTAGTAAGTGAACCATGGCAGTATTTCTGTAAGTGCTGTCTTACATAAAATCTGGATGATTTCTACCTTTTATCCAATATAATTAGATAATAGTGTTGGTGAATAGGTACAGATCCTCTGCTCACTAAACTCCTGAGATTTTTTTTTATTACTATTCTCTTTAACCAATTTTCTTTGCCTTACTCATTTGCAAGTACCACAGGAATCCAGAATATTCTACTTTGGCAATTACTGTAACTAGGCATCGATACCGTACTTGTATTTAATTTCTCGTACTCTTATTTAAGTATGCTCAGCTTTGTTATAAAACTTCATTAACTCTGACTTTACTCGTTTGGATTCTTGCGATAACGGACTTCCCAAGGGGCTAAATTTAACCTTTATAGTTTCTCTCAGAGGAATAAGTGCTGTTAGAAAAATCACAGGTGGTATTTTTAACTTCCTTCAAAAAGTGAGTTGTTTCTCAGAGATTTGATCTCATGCAGTGCTTACGGGTGCATGCTCCCACCACCTACCAGGATGGTGGTCTTTCTGCTGGGACCAGTGGGCTGCCTGGAGGCAGCTGGCACCTGGGAACATCCATGCACAGGAGATGGCAGTTCTGAGAACTGACAGGTAGGGCAAGGCCCTGATGAACATGAGCCTGCCCACCTGCCACAGAGCATGGCGAGAGGGACCACCATCTGCACCTGTGTGCCCAAGTGCTTCCGCACTGAGGGATGGTGCTTGGTTAGTACTAGTCTCAGTTCAGCTGTAGGTAAATGTGATAAACATGATGGTGGTGGAGGCATTTCAAAGAGACTGGGGGAGAGGGGTTAGGGAAGGGGTGGCATCTGGGAATGGAAGGCAGGTGTACCCATGTTACTGCCATCACACCAAAGTGCGGAACAGGCTCTGGCTTGAAGGCTGCCAGATGACCACAGACTCGAGCCTAGTAGAGACCTTGCAAGGCTTCTCACCCAGGTTGTTCTGACTGAAAAATTGGGTATTTTGCTGTCACAGCCCAGGGAAGATTCCCTAACTGAAGAGCGTGCAGTAAGAACCAAGGTCACATGGGACACTTGGGGGGCTCTAGGTTGAGTGTCTGACTTCAGCTCAGGTCATGATCTCCTAATTCAGGAGTTCGAGGCCTGCTTTGGGCTCTGTGCTGACAGCTCGGAGCCTAGAGCCTGCTTCGGATTCTGTGTCTCCCTCTCTCTCTGTCTTTCCCCTGCTCGTGCTCTGCCTCTCTCTCTCAAAAATAAATAAACATTAAAAAAAAAAAAAGAACCAAGGTCACAGAAGGGACCCATTGGCACTGATCACTTAGAGCTGAAATCATGTCTGGCCACTTAATACCGACCCCACTGGCCAGAAAATTTCAGGATTCTTAGAAATGCCTGCATGTTGGCAAGAACATTGCAAAAGATGCTGGCAAGAGCCCAGAGGTGGCTCAGATGGTGCCGCTCTAAAGGGTACAAGTGCTTTTTACTTGGAAAATTGTTCCTAAAGAAATGTTCATTGTTGTGCTATAGGATGGTCCCTGGAAATGTGTTAGTTAGGAGGAAAAAATCCTCCACTTGACTTGATAGCAGGTTTATAGAGAAATGCCAGGAATTCCTCATTTTGGTGACAACGATAAGACCTATATTCACATCCCCAAAGACCCTGTACATTCTCCACGATTCCCCCACAACAACACTGTTACCCTGAGGGTCCAGCTCCATCAGCATCACAGCCTCCTTCCCCAGGAAGATGCCTTGCAGACTCTTGGGCACTTAGTGCCTGTCACTCATACATATCTGGATTTGATAACAAAGCTAGGTAGTGCCAAAGGGGTCTGGATATTGTCAAACTTTTTTTTCTGAAAAATTCCGTTTGGGGACTAGTTTGGACTTTTCAGGAAAAAAAACATCCACAAAGGTTAAAATGGCCGCAGGAATCACCCTAGAGGTTGTATCTGCGTGTCTCCCTGCTTTGCTCCCTTTTACTCTGTCTTCACTATTCATGAAAACCTTGCCCTTGGCCATGCTTGGGAAGCAGAGAGAACAAACAAGATGTGCTACCTTATGGGGTCAGTGGGTCCCAAGCCTGGAGGCAAGTTTCTAGTACATGTATACTTAGGGGGAATAGTAGTTTCTCTCCTCTGTGACCCCTGGGATTTACAATTTTCTAAATGCTTTTTAATATTTCCATGGAACTGGGCATCAGAGAATGGGGGTTGATGTTGCGAGATGTGGGCCCCCGAAGCATCAGTAGCCCCACGGCTCCTGAGATGGGGTTTCTCTTTTCCTAGCAAAATGAGAAGGCCCCTCAGAGCCCTTGGTCAGTGGACCCCTTGCTTATTAGTCTCATGCTGCAGCTGCTGGACAACGGAGGCCAAATAAGGAAGAGTGAAAACCAGAGGCAAGACCTGGTTTTCCTTTCTGTGCCAGAGGCCCAGCAATCCTGCTCCATCCGCCTGCTGAGGGCTCCAGGAGTCACTGCCTCCTCCGGCTCTCGAGGGGCTCACCTGCTGAGGTCATGGCTGAGGCAGCCTGGCCTCAACCACGAGGAGGCCACGTGTTTGTGGCTGAGGGCGAGGACTCTCTCTTGGCAGGTGCAGACCCAACTGAGTCAGCAGGAAATATGGCACACGGAGCATAATGGAAGGTGGCATTGTCTGAGTCATGGCCTTCAGGGCACCAGAAATACACAGCCTCTTGACCCCCTACCCCAATTCCAGCTGCTGTACACATCAGAAGGATGGCCATTTTGATGGACAAACAGGACTGTCATGCCAGGCCAGGGAGTGTTGCCTTGGGAGGGCCCAGCTTCAGGTGCGTCCCCAGCTCAGGCAGATTTAATGCAAGTGGAAGGTGATCTTCCATCCATCCTCTCTCCCTCCCTCTTTTCTTCTTCCTTTTGTCTTCTTAAATGTTACTTATCATTCTAATGAGTTGCAGACATCCAACACCAGGATGGCTTTGGGGACTCAATTACAGTGGGTGGAATGGTCCCTCAGAGCCAGCGTATTGAATTCCCAGCACATTCAATCCAGCTTATTGAACTCTCTGTGAAGGAATGTGCTTAGCTCGACAAGATCTTTTGTAGCCGCACAGAACACAGCTTGTCCAAAAACACATGCACATACATCTTCCAGTCTTACCTTAGCACACTACCTGTTCTCCCTTTGTTGGAATGACTAGTTATTTTAAGATTTTTGAGATTATGATGTTGCCACTACTCTTCCAGCCACCTCAACTCTTAGCTGGGCTGCAGGCAGCTCAGTCACTGCTGAGGGACAGAGGGGTCCCAGGCTGCAGGAGACAGTACCACGGGGACCTTCTGGAGAAAATCCGTTCCCCCCAATACCCTGGGGGCTTCTGCCCCTTCCTGAAACCTTCTGGAAGCCTCCCCCTCAGAGAAAGCCCCACCAAAGACACAAGGAAAACACATCACCTGGCACTTGCCGTGCACACAGAGGTCGGTCTCATAGGGCCCGCAGGGTGTGCCATCCAGGACCCTGTCGGCCACCAGCAGCGGGGACTCCTTCCCAAGGGGTGAGCAGTAGAGTTCACATGGTTTATCTGAGAAGGGAAAGGGGAAGGCAGACATTGATGTGGGAAGGGGTTTGTGGGCCGTGCAAAGGGCAGGTGCATATGGGCAGTGGCCCAAATGATGGGAGGTCAGCATGGAATAAAGGTCACAGGAACCTGGCAGATGCTCAGAGATATGGACCTGCCCCTTGGAACACTCAACACAACAAATGGAGAAAGACCCTCAGACACAGGTGAACGACACATGGGTGAGGATTCGGTGGGCTTTTAATTCACCTTATTCTTCCTTTTCTTTAAGGCATTAAAAATATTAGGTTGAAAAAAATTTTATTGTATGCTAACGCCTAAGTGAGCTGAATATATATGAAGGGTGAGAATAGAAGCATCTCTTACTGTGGGGGATTGAAAGGGGGAGAAGTTGAGCCCTGTGGGTAGGAGGGGGTGTGAGCCCCATGGATGTGTCTACAGCAGTAGCTTTTGCTAAAAGCTTTAGTGTTCCACTGGATATTGGATAAAAGCTGCAGGGCTGGGATATGTAGCAAGAAGGTTCTGGAAGAAACTGAGTGGGAGTAAAATATAAGAACATAGTGGCCTCTAGAACAACTTGGAAGGGTCATGTCAGAACCAAGGAAGCTCCTAGAATGTGACAAGCTCTCATTCCTTTGCCTAAACTGTTCCTTTTGCTTGGAGATCCCTCTCTGCACATAGCTTTCTGGAAGATTCCTATCACCTTAGAAGCTTCCACTCCAGATCTCTCTCCTCTCATGTCATCTCTGACATGGAATCTCCCTCTACATTCTGCTCATGCCTCCATTAAAGCCCTTAGCTATTATCCTATTGCCTTATTGTTGTTTGAGTAACTTCCATATACAAGGGGATTTTGTAGGAGTTCCATTGCTAAAAGTGTTTGAAAGGGATAGATATTGTTATCTTTGGATTTAAAAATCTTACAGAACTGGGAGTCCCTGGAGGACAAGGGACGGAGATTTTTTTCTCTTGTCCCTAGGCCAGGCCCAGGATCTAACTCACAGGCAAATATTTTAATCTTTCCATATAAACTTTAGAATCAGTTTTTCAATATCCATAAAATAACTTCCTGGGGTTTTGATTGGGACTGCATTGAATCTATAGATCAAATTGACAAGATCAACTGACATCATGACAATATTGATTCTTCCTATCTATGAACATGAAACCTTCTCCCATTTAACTTTTTAATTCATTCTTCAGAGTTTTTCTCATATAGATCTCACACATATTTTGTCAGATTTATACCTAAATAATTCATTTCTTGGGTGCTCATGTAAATGGTATTGTGTTTTAAATTTCAAATTCCATTTGCTCATTGCTGGTTTACAGGAAAGTGAGTGATTTTTATACATTTACCTTATATCTTGCAACCTCGCTATAATCATTTACTATTTCCAGGAGGGTTTTTTTTTTCTTCAGTTTTGTTTTTTGTTGTTGATTCTTTTGGATTTTATACATAGATGATGATGTCATCTGCAAACAAAGGTAGTTTTATTTTTCCTTTCCCGATTTGTGTATTTTTCATTTCCTTTTCTTGTCTTATTGCATCTGCAAGGATTACCAGCACGATGTTGAAAAGGAGTGGTGAAAAAGAAAATCCTTGCCTTGTTCTTGATCTTAACAGAAAAACGTCAAACCTAGTTTTTAATAAATGAATGGATTTTATTCTTCTGTATGTAACTGAGAAAGAGGAATGCACCCTTCTCTATCACCTAATTCTAATGGTGTTTCTATGATTATTTTGCAAAGAAACCTCCAGAGAAAGAAACACCAACACGTGTGTGCTGCCTCTGTCAGGCCCTTTGTTTCCACCATGATCTTTCCCCTACTGGGTCCTTCTACCAGTCTCAAGTGAGCAAGGGCAGGGGTAGAAAATGGCTTCTGGAGTTGACTTGGCCCCAGAAGACCCTGGCATTCCAGCTGGACAGTTCTTGTCAGAGCAGATGTGCTGTCTCACCCAGGCTCTGCGGCTTTCATGACTGAATGACATTCACTAAACCACCAACATTTTCAGCAGCTTTCCATAGCTCCTCTCCCATGGAGCTCTGCTGACCAACATGCCCAGTGGGATGTCTTGTCTTATAACACTAGAAAGAAGCTATGGGGGTTCAATAGAAATGTTCAGCTGTTCGTTCCAGTTAGTTGTGGAGGTGGGGGGAAACTGCTGTGAAGAGTAGCTTCCCAGGAAAGTAATTATGTTTCAATGTTCATTCATCCAAAAAACAGGAATTGAGCCCTTCCACCATACAAGGCACTCTTTTGGCACTGTGGGGAAAGAAAGATGAGTAGTGTATGCTTTTCAAGGCCCTGGTGGTCTAATGGTAAGTATACAGCAAATCCCAGAGGCAGACTATGAAAAGTCCCATGAAATGGGCCTGAATGTCAGAGAACCGGGCATTAAATGGAAGGAATCGCTCATTTCCCAGCTACCAGACTAGAGGCAGTTGTCCCTCCATTTAGATGGAATGATCCAGGAAGGCAGCCAGTGGAAAGATAGGGGAGACTAAAATGTAAACAGAGATTGGGTTCTAGGAGGCTCTTCTGACAAAATTTTTGAGGTGCTCTTTGGGACCCTGAGGTTTCCTGTGAGCACCTTGGGGAATGACTGGGAGAATGCAGCACCACGGTCCCCAGTCTGAGTTGATGGGTATATCTTCTTCACATCCTAGGTAGGCTTCCTCTGTTTCATTATAAGGAAGGAAGGATCCCCTGATCCAATCAGTCTGAAAACTATGTATTCTAATTACATTTAAACTGCCTCAATACTTGGAATAACTGAGCTTTGAAGTGATATTTTACAATAGCAGTAATAATGGTGATGATGTTGATAAAATCATAAATAACATTAGTTATATTCTGTATACAAGGCAGCATGCTAAGTAGTACCTGTGCAGCATTTCAGGTGGGCACTGTCATCGCTCCATCTTATAGATGAGCATGTCAAGCTCAGGGAAAGTACATGGCTACCCAGAGTCCCTTGCTTGGCAGGGCCAGAACTGAGCCTCTTTGTGCCAGCCTAGTTTTCTTTCTGACACTGGGGGTCAAAAGTACCAAGAGACAAAATGGTGTTACTGAAAACAAACCACTAGTTTCACAAATGTTTCTGGATTCTGAATGTACTCTGATCTGAGCAGAAATCAGATGGAAATGGGATTTGGATGAAAAAGTAGAGGGTCTTTTGAGGCAAGTTAGAAAGACCAGGCTTGGAGGGGTGAAGATTTTTGGGGGGCTCTTTGGTGTAAACATCAGGAAAGTAGAGATTCTCTAAAGTGGGGGGCTCAACCTCAAATGGAGGGATTTTAGCCATGACTCCAGGCAAGAAAGTAGACTCAAATCCATCTGCAATGGACTCTCCCACCTGCAGACACTGTCCTCTTTGGCTTGGGAAGTCTGGGGGCACCCAGACTCCAGAACAGAATCCATACACAACACTTCCTTCCTTTGCTTAGGCTGAAACTCCATTCGTCCATCTCCTTTTCTGAAGTCTGTGCTCAGAATTTAGGGTACCGCACAACTCTAGGAAGGTGTAGTACTACCTTCCAAAGGGACTCAGGATAATCTATAAAACTTGAGGAGGAGCCCCTCAAAATTCTCTGAATATTCCCCTTGGATGGGCAATTAATCTTGGGATAAATGAGGTGCTGTGATTCTGCTCTGGGCACAGTATCTTACATTCTTAGTAGTACAGAAGGAGGTCAAATCCTAACGGTTATACAACCACACACTCCAAGGAAAGAAGTTTGGAGTGTCCCTCTTGGCTGATATGTGCCAAGATGAATTCTGATTGAGCCTAGACTGTCTGGTGTGGGTCTGGGTCTCTTACTTGCCCACTTGTCTCCAGGACTTATGTTTAGATGTGGAAACCACAAACAGGGCAGGGGAGATGAGCTCAGGGCCTTGAGAGCCACATGATCCTATCTGCTTAGTGGATGCCTAGAGGATTCCCCCTCGTGCTCCATGGTAAAGAGGACACTTGTGGCTCCTGGCATTCTTGCTGGTCTCTGCCAGTGGTTACAAGGTCTTACTAAGGTGGAGACCACACTGAATTTTGAGGCCACCACAAGTGCTCATTCCAGCTCTGGCTGGCTATCTTGGGGGGACACATGCTGAAGAGGCCGCTTTGTCCCCTGTCCCCAAAGCTGCCCACCATGACCCCAAAGCCAGGCCTTGGCTGATTGGACCAGAAGCAACCACTGGACTGTAGCTGTACCAATCAGTTCTTTCTCTCCCCCACAACCTCATGGCCACACCTCAACTGACTGGACTAAGTGTAGCCACCTGACCACAGGTGGACCAATCAGAGTCTCTCTCTTGAAAAAATCAGAATTAAAATTTAGATACAGAACGGCTGTGTCTGTTCATGATTGATGGGCCTGAAAGAAGTCTATACTCCCTTATACATAATTCAGAATTCCAAAAAGCTCTGGAAACTGCAAGCATTTTCATATATTCATGGCAAACACACTTGGCAGCAAATTAGGCTTGAGTGACATGAGGCTGTCGGTAGTGTTCAGTATCCTTATCAGGGACTGTTCATGGGTTACTCGGTGGAGGCATCATGTGCTTCCCTGGGCCCTGCAGGGAGTATTGAGTAAAATGTGGTTGATGCATTATTGTTACCTAACACCAAAAATGCTTTGGCCACATCTGGCCCCAAGAGGTTCGGATAAAGGATGAAGATGTACATGAAAGGTACTGTGGGTGACCCATCAGCCTCCATGTGGACAGATCATGAGAAAGCCAGTCTGCAGGGGGGTGGGGGGGGCAGGAGGAAATGACGCACAAACATAAGTTGTGGTGGCATGGAGAGAGAGTTCTGATATTTTCAGAGGCCCTGACCTCAGACCCTCATTTGGGCCCTTGGGATCTGAGACATCCTTCGTCTTTGCCACAACTTTCTCTTTTTCATTAAGCAACTCCAGTCAGCTTGGCCAAACTGGGGTCAGGGAGTCCTCAACCATCATCTGCTCCAGCCTTTGGAAGGCTCGGGCCCAGAGGGGGTTCTGCCATGCCGGGGAGGCGCTGGGAATGCACCTCCATGTCCAGACATGGCCTTTGCCAAGCCCTCCAACACTTCAGTGAGCATGGGGCCTGCTGGCTTCGGCAGGAAGGACTGAACTCTTGAAGGCTTCTACTTAAACGAGATTCCACGGAGAAAGCAGAAATGGGGTGAGTCTGGCAACAGGGCATCTCTATGGGTTTCTGTCTAAAGGCTTTCCCACTCAGAACTATTTTCTAAGGAGAGCCTTTGTCTTCTTTTGGAGGTGGTATGGATTTGTGGTCCTGAGCCCTCTCTTGGAAAATCTACCTCTGTAAGAATTCTTTTTTTCTTTTTTTTTTTCAACAGGAGAAAAAAGAAAAAATATAGCTTCCCCTTTCTTGAACCGTGCGTCACTCGCCAAAGAATTCCGCAGTGATAGCAATGCTATGAATAGGGCAGTCATAATGGGCTTCGAGAGAGCCCAGAGCCCGACCACAGGAATCGTTCCCATCACGGCTGAGCTAGAATTGGGCCTTTTATAAGCTGGTTTTTGAGAGGAACGCACTTCTAATCTGTATTCTCCCCCCTGCCCTCTGAATTGGCCATTTATTATTTTGTTTTCATCCTTGTGAAATGCTCCTTTCAAAAATGCTGGCTTCTGTTTATATTTGAGAGGGAAATGAAACCAAATATGAGACAAGTCATGACAATTCCACCCCGGAGAAGGAGGTGTCAAGCTACCCTTGCAAAGCCCTGAACTTGGGGTCTCCTCTTCAAAGACAAAATGCATACTGCCCGCTAGCTGTCCTTATCAAATACAGAGGCACTTTTCAGATCAAAGGTGGTAGCACTCTGGCTGTAATGACTGACTGTTTTGGTAGAGGGACATGAAAAGTGAGTGGGCAAGACTACCTTCTGAACCCGGTAAGCTTCCCCAAATCACTGCCCTGAGAAGCTTCTTTGGAGGGCGGATCCGGGGCAGACATCAGTTTCAGCCACTGTGATGATAAGGGAACTGAGGAGCTCAGCAATCCAAAAGTGGTTACAAGTAAAATAGAAGCTTAATCTGGACTTGGAGAAATCTGTGGAAAACCAGCCATTTCAGTGGGATTTCTGCATCGAATAAAGGAGCAGGAGAGCTGAAAGCTGAAGCAGACCAAGGAAAGAATAACAATTCTGTGCACATAGCTGAGTGGAAAGGGGTGAGTCCTCTCTTAGATCTGATGTCTTCTTGCTCCTGACAGGGAGGAGAGGACACGACTGAGGGCCTGAAGGGTCTTTACCCCACAGGCCGGGATGGCTGATGGTTTGGAAACAGGGCTGCTCTGCATCAGAACCAACCACGGTTTCGGAAACAGCTTCTGCATGGGGCTTGCTCCCTCCGGATAAGAAGCCTGAATGTGATCGTGACATGTGGAAGCCTCCTGTGTCTTCCCGCAGCAGAGGAATGGCCCGGCAGAGAGAAGGGAGGATCCTGGGTAAGGCCTGCCTCCAGCTGCACATGTTCCTTTTAGCAGGGCGAGTCTCCTCTCTCCCCGGTCTGCATAAAAAGCTGAGGGTACAGAGGCTGCTCTTCTCTTGAAGTCTTGGTCAGGTGATAGTCCACCTACAATCACACAACTCCAAATAGTGGTGTTCTTTTTTAAAAAGGAAAAGGTCTGGGGGAGCTCCCCGATGCCTTCAAATGAGCCCACAGCCAAGCAGGTCAGTATTATCTGCTATGATTTAGAGAATCTCATGTAAGCTGGTGGGTCAGGTTGCTGGGCTAAAAGCGGCAGGTCTGAGGCTATTACTCCCTGTGATGCCTGGGTCTACCCCTGCACAGCGAGGTACACTTGACCCTGTAAGAACAGACTGCAGCATGTAGATTTCAGAAGTTCTTTAAACCACAAAGAAGAAACCTAAGACCTGGCACAGGAACTTCGTTCTCCTGCAGAAAACTTTAGAGACTCCGTTACTGCAGTTCTTATTAAAGCCTCTTCACTCAACACTTCTGAAGTCATGCTCTCTGTCTTATTCGAGTATCGGAAGCCAGATGATAGCTGGTCATTTTCTGAGTCAGCTCCTCCGGAACTGGGGTCCCTAACAGCTTCTTATCAGATAGGGCCCATGACCTGTAAGGTCTCATCTCTGCATGGCTCATTTTGCATATTAATTGAGATGACGTATGCAGAGCTAACCTGTGCCTGGCATATGGTGTGCTCAGCAAATAGGACCGTATTGTCATCATTACAATAGTCATATCTCCAGGAGACAAAAGTATAAAAAACCCTGAACTAGGCCATGGCCACAGGAGGGTGTGGGGAGGAGGTAGTTTTATCAACAATAAATAGACATCACAAATCCTACAGACAAGATGTGGCCCCTAGAATTTTATCAGCCACTGGAAATGTCTGCAGTGGCTCATGGGGCCGCCTCCCTTGAGTTGGGAGAAAGCTCTTGGACGGAAAACGTGACTTGTGCCATCATCGTCTTCAGCGACCTGTAAACTGGCCTCCAAACTTTTTTTTTTTTCCAAACACTCTAGTCAAGGAGTAAAAGCCAACCCCAGAATGAACTGAGCAAAGAAATGCAAGAAGCATCGACACCGGAAGGGGCAGACACAGAGACCCACCGTCCTGTCCCTGCAGAGCCTCGCTCTCCTCAAAGCTGGCCCCGGGCCTCTCGGCACATGGCACTGCGAGGCAGGCTGCCAGCACACCCGCCTCACTGCAAATGGGGGTGCAGGACGATTCTGGGCTACTGCCCGCCTTACAGCTGCTTTTAAGAAATCTCCCAGGGCTGGGTCATCCAAGTTCAACCCCACTGCTGGAGAAGCAGGCCCACTGCTGCCTGGGGTAGCAGGACTAGAGTGTCCTGTTGGATAGATTGCTGGGAAGGGGGAGCCCTGTGGGTTTTCCTAGGAGGTGTTTACATTCTTGGAGGAGAAAGGGGGAGCACTGTGAAAGGATGTGCCATATGCCTTTACCATCAACCACTACTGCTGTCAGCAGGCCCTTCTTCTTGCTGCTGAGCCGGTCATGCGTCTGGCACTGCTGGTCCCGGAAGCTGGGCAGGCCCTTGGGGCAGGGCAGGTTCTCGCAGACGGCGTGCTCCACACTGGCACCCAGGCAGTGCGTGCCCCCAGGCCCTGGGCTGGAAGGAAGAGATCCGTCCGCGTTAACCAGACAGTGCTGCAGAAACAGCAGGGGTGTTCGGATTTTGCCTCTCTTGCCAAGAGGGGGAGGGGCCAGGCAAAGTGTCCAAAGCAACCTCCCTCTGCTCTTACACACTGTATCTCGGCCATCCCAGCCCCATGCTGACCGCACGTTTAAGTGAGCCATCGGAAAAATGCATCCAAGAACTGTAAATCAGGGTCATCTGGAAATAGGATATTGTGAGTATCAGTTCGGCAAGATCCACAAATTGTGTCTTTCATCTGAACTTAAAACTTGGCCCTCTGTAATTCTGAAAACCCCAAGGGGAATTTTTAGTGTGTGGGTTTCTTGGTTTTTTATTTTTATTTTTATTTTTTTATAAAAGAAAGACTTTTAAATGGCTCCTACATACATTCTGGAGGTCGCCAAGTTTCAGGATGAGTAAATAGCTCTCCTTAACTTTATAATAAAAAGAATAAAAATGATTAAGTAACTTGTTCATGGGCTTTGCGTGGAGACTGGTCAGATCCGGCTCTGCAACCTTTACTTGGGCGAGCATGAGACCAAATGTGGTCAATAACATGGTGTGGGTCCCAGCTCTGTGCTTAGATTGGGGTTCTAAGCAGTTCTGGAGACTCAGCTGTGTTCTCTGACCAAGCCCATGTGTGTGAGGGGCACTGATGAGGAGGAACACGACACTGGTCTAGTGGGCTGAAACGTGGCTCTGCCCAGCTCTTCCACGAGGCCCCAAGGTGTCCCCATCAGACTCTGACCTGAGCAACCTCAGTGGTTGCCTTCATTTCCATGATGCTGAAATCACCATGATGGAGTACAATTGTTTTCTCCCTGTACTTTTATTGAAATTCAGCATTCAAGAGAAAAGAACACAAATCACAACTGTTTTTGCTCAATGGCTTTTCACAAATTGCATATACCTGTTGGCAAGACATTTTTGACACATTAACCATTTCATATTAAGTGTTTCTTTTCCTCCCTTTGCCATTCCTTGTATTCAGACAACTGGAGGCCACCCTGTGATCACATTAGGGGAGAGATATCACAGCAGAAGTCCTTAGGCTTTTGTGTCACAAAAGTCTACACCAGGGGTCCAGAAACGTTTTTGGCAAAGGGCCAGATGGTGAATATTTCTGGCCATGGCGTCTCTGTTGGAACTATTCAACTCTGCCACTGTAGCAAAAAAGCAGCCAGAGATGATGCATAAGCAAAAGGGCATAACTACATGCCAATAAAACTTTATTTAGAAAACCAGGTGATGAACCAGATTTGGTCCATGGGCCATTGTTTTTCAGCTCTCTGTCTACATAAATGTGTTGGAGAAAATGTCTGGAGTGGGAAGAAAGGCTCCCATCATATCTCTATGACCATCTCATATACACCAGACAACATTTCTCTCACCTGAGCGTGGTGGCAGCCTTGCGAGATTATACACACTGGTGGACCTAGAGAGGGGCCTTGAGTTCTGATCTCCAAGTTAGGAAATAGCAAAACCTCTCTAAGGTTTATGGGATTTGAGAACAGAGGGGCCTTTTATTCTTCTTCCATCCCAGAGCACCAGGAAGGAAGCTGGATCTCAGAGAAATGGTTGCATGGCATAGACAGAGTCTCAGACAGCCTCCCTAAGAACCTAGGGCCTGAATGCCAAGTGTGGACAGATGAATGGATTCCTGTACCACAAAGCACAGCGTGGAAGAAACAGAGAGGGGAAAAGCCATCTGGACCAGCAGGAGGGACATCTTCTCTGCAATAGGGAAGTTCCCACAGCTGGGACCAGAGAAGGGATGGGGAAGGCAGCAGATGCTGTACAGTGAGAAGTTCTGGGCTGAATTGTGCCCATCCTAAAATCATATGCTGACGTCCTAATCCCAGTGCCTCAGAATGTGGTCTTATTTAAAAATAGGACCACTGCAGACGTCATTAATTAAGATGAGATCATTCCAAAGCAGGGTGAGCTCCTAATCCAACAGGACTAGTATGGTTATAAAAAGGGGAGATGTAGAGATTGAAACACAGAGGGAGAGCACTAGGCAGAGATGAAGACAGAAATCAGAGTGATGTTTCTATACCCTAAGGAATGACAAAGATCACCAGCAAGCCACTAGAAGTTAGGAGAGGGGCAAGGAACACATTCTCCTTCACAGCCTTCTGAAAGAACCAATCCTTCTGAGACCTTGATCTTGGGCTCTGGCCTCCAGAACTAGAAGAGAAGAAAACTTGTGTTGTTTATGCCACCCAGTTAATAAGCAGTTTGTCTTGGCAGCCCTTTGAGGACAAATATACCAGACGGTATAAGGATCAGATGCATCCTCACTGAATTTAGTTGCAGACTCAGGGAAAATGGGCCCAAAACTCCTGAAGTGATTAGGAATCCAACATGGACTAGAATGGAGCTCAACAATACAAATTAAAAAATCAAATGCAAATACAAAAATTGGCTTCTAGAAAAATAAAGAAAGCTATGTTTTCCTACACACTTTAGGGTGTGAGCTGAGATCTGTGCACATCATGTAATTACCTTCCTGAGCTGTCACTGAGCTTTACTTTAGCTTCCATTGTACCAACCTCTGTGAATTGTTTTTTCCAGATTTGCAACTGACTGACCCTCCTAAACCAACTACCTTTACGGGCTCGGCAAGTAGCAGGTGGGTGGAGAGATTACACAGGACAAGGAAACTCCTTGATCCAGCAGAAAGTGGGCCTGGCAGGGGTAGCCCATGGGATACGTCATGTGCCTCAGGGTACTTTCCTCCTGAACTCTGTTTATCTTGTTTTTTCTCCCTATCCCTTCTCCCATGGGCAAGTCCCCTTTCAGCCCCCGTCTAGCTCACTGTCCCATCTTCTCTACCCTCCACCCTGAACTCTCTATCCTTGAGGCCACCTCCAACCTGCAACCTCTTTTCATCTTCTACCTGGAGCCTCTCCTGACCCTGCTTCATTCTCTGCTATGTTGCTTATTGTCAACCTTGTGAAATGGTGGGCTAGATTATCATCTTCCTCCTATTTTTCTGTACCTTCTAGCAGAGAAATTTGCACAGGCTAGTCTTTAACAAAACAGTAGTTAGACTGAGTTGAACTATATTACTGAACTTGATCTTAAAATGACCAAAAGAGAGGGGTGCCTGGGTGGCTCAGTCAGTTAAATGTCCTACTTAGGCCCAGGTCATGATCTTGTGGTTTGTGAGTTTGAGCCCCATGTCAAGCTCTGTGCTGACAACTCAGAGCCTGGAGCCTGCTTTGGATTGTGTGTCTTCCTCTCATGCTCTGTCTCTCTCTGCCACTCTCTCTCTCTCAAAAACAAAAGTAAACATTAAAAAAAAGAAAATTTTTAAAAGATGACCAAAAGAGAGAGCAAAGTCAGGAAGATGGTAGAGTAGGAAGCACCAGGAATCGATCTCTTCACTGAGATAATTATATTGGCAAAAACTTTTTGAAGTGACTATTTTGAAAGTCTGGAGTCTATTTGAAACTGTGTGGCCTCCTGGAAAAAAGTTTGGCTGGTAAGCTGTGGTGAATTTAGATAAATTTCAGCCTTTATTGTGGTAGTGGCTATCTGTCCTCCACACTCCTGACCCATGGCAGGCAGCTGTGCCTGTATTCCTGGTGTGGCCGGCTAGAGCCAGAGTAGACAATAAAAACCTTATTCTCCAAGTACTGGGGTTCTGTGCTCTGTTCAGTACTACTTTTGATTTCTGAGGTGTGGGGACAGAGAGTGGCCACCATTGTTGCAACTCCTCTGAGCTGAAGTGACTTCCAGGGAATTTCAATGAGCAATATATTTCCCCCCCTCTTTTTCCCCTTTTGGGCATGAGATAATTAAGGATTAAGTCATTCAAAAGCAACTGCACATATGGGAAAATTTAGAAAGTCACCAAGTATGCTCAGGGAAAGATGAAGTTTCATTAAAGGCTTGAAAAGGCCTTATATTTTCACTTAAGGTTGATTCCTAGCATAGAGAAACTTTCTGACAACAAAGAAATAGCAAATCTTGGGAAGGGGAGAAGTTGATTATCAAGGCTACATTATAAGATTCAAATGCCCAGTTTTCAACAACAACAACAACAAAAAAATCACAAGGGATACAAAGGAAAAGTAAAGTCTGGCCAAATCAAAGGAACAAAATACATAAGCAGAAACTGCACCTGGGGAAACTCAGATGTTGGGCTTATTAAACAAAGACTTAAAACAACTGTCTTAAAAATGCTCAAAGTACTGAAGGAAGACATAAATAAAGACAGGAAAATGATGTATGAGAAAAACGAGAGTATCAGTAGAGATAGAAATGGTGTGAATTGGCACATAAGAAAAGATATCCAAATGGCAAACACAGATGCAAACAATGCTCAGCCTCATTACTTGGAAAGGAAATGCAAATGAAAACCTCAGGGAGATACCACTCTACACCCACCAGAAAGCCAACATAGGAAAGACTGACAATATGGAGCACTGGTGAGGCTGAGAGCAAGTGCAGGCTCACTGTGGATTTGGTAGGGCTGCTCTGAAAAACCACACCCTCATTCGGTCACATACACACACACTAGGAGGCAAAGATTCCTTCCCACTGCGTCAACATACACCTCCATGTGTGCCCAACACACACACTCAACTACAAGGGGCAGTACTGCAGCAGGAAGCACATTCTAGAATGGGTGTGCTTTTCTGTATGTTATGCCTTGATAAAGATGTTTAAAAATAAAGAAAAAAAATAAGGTAGAGAGGCTTTGGCAAGAAGCTGAAACTGTGGAGAAGAAGGTGAACCCCTGCAAGACAGGACTGTGGCTTGTTGGGACGGGGTCTGAAGTGCCTTGGGCAGACCCCAGCACAGAGCAGGGACAAAGCAAAGGGTCACTGAGATGAAGAAGATCACAAGGATCACAGGAACAGGATTTTCCTCAGGAGTGGGTCAACACAGAGAATCAGGGTAAGAGGAGGAGTGACACTCCGAGTGACACCTTTTACTTGTTTTGCTCTGTTCTACTCCAT